ACCGCTCTGACTGTCAGGGTGTTCCTCCTAAGGTTTAGCCAAAAACTCTTCTGATTTAATTTCAACCTGTTGGTTCTGGTCCGACCGTCTGGGGCAACAGAAAACAACTCCTATACGACAGCCCTTCAAGTACTTGAAGATGGTTATCATATCACCTCTCAGTCATCTCCATCCTTCATTTATACCCCATCTTTCTCCCCAACGGGAACCGAAAGCAACTTACATTATTCTCCTTTCCTCCATTTTATCCTCATGACAACCTTGCAAGGTAGGTTACGCTGACAAGAGACTGGCCCAGGGTCACCCAGAAAATTCCTCTGCGGCATTCAAACCTGGCTCTCCCAGATCCTTGTCAAAAACTCTGGCCATTATGCCGTGCTAGCTCGGTCACGAAGTCTCATGAATGCCAGGCAAAGTCCCTCTGTGCAGGAGACCAACTGTCATCCCAAGCCGAATTACACCCTTCTAAGTCAATGGGGTAGCTGTGACCAGGATGGCACTATCTGCTTGACATGTGATCTCACAAAGAAATACAGAAAAGTAATTCTCTTCAAGCTGCAAGATAGTCAGCAAGCACCCCAATGACACCAGCCTAGAAGCAGGAAAAAAGATGAGCAGGCCACAGGTTTTTAATATCTACGCGATGGTGCGAGCCTTCTCCTACGGTTACTGCACAGAATGTTGATGAATCCCCATGCCGGAACTGACAGGCTCCTCAAGGAAAGAGGGAGAGCACTGAAGGAAAGCTTAATCAGTATCGCCGCCTGCAGCTTTTCTTTCCTCCTTTCACAAGGCCGATGGCCAGGGAAAAGAAGAAAGAAAAACAAAGCTTCAAGTGCATCAGTAGAAATACCTATGAGGTTCAGACTGAAGCGCAGTGATGATGCCTGAACTGGGATGCAGCAACATCGCAAACAAGGGGACGCATCCAGATGACAAGCACCACACGGGAAAGGACGGTGTTCCAAGAGGCATCGATATCTACATCCTGACATGAAATTCATAAAAGCCACTAGCTCACAAGTTTTTTTTTTTTGCTAGACACCTAGCCTGCCTTTACAAGATGGTTAGGATTCATTATTTATAACCTGAAAGAAAGAAACAGAAGCAAGATCTGTTTAAAAAAAAAAAAAACCAACCCAAACCTTTGCGGTGTCATGCCACGAGGAGGCCATCTTTACTCACCGCAACCGTTCAAATATCTGCATTTCTTAAGTTAGCATTTTTTAAAAATCCAGAAATCAAGCCTAACTTTCACCACACCTTGTTTGTGAATAGTCTGCCAGGATTCTTCAAAAATAATTCAAACGTGTAACCTACAGGAAGACTGTGGTCACATGAGCAGTTCACACCAGTATCGTAGCGGTACCTTTGCAGATTTAAAGGGCAGGATCAGACAACAACATCTGCCTTCTGTGTCTCAGTTGTTGGCACCCGGTTCTGGCCCGTCTTTGAAGCAGAGTAAACAAACGCTGAGGAAAATCTGGTCTTTATGTATGCCAGTGCTTCCACTCCGATTTTCTGGACATCTGAACTCCTCTGTCACGATGGGAAGTCTGAACCATCAGATTCATTTCTGCCATTGTTGGGGTTTTTTTTGAGTAACTACCGATAACCACATAAGCACATGAGCGCATATGCACATGTGCCCACCAGTGTTCCCTCTAAGCTGAGTTAGTGTGAGCTAGCTCACAGTTTTTTAGCCTCTGGCTCACACATTTTTGTCTTAGCTCATGAAGGATGGCTCCAGAGCAAACTAATTTATGCAGTAGCCAAATTGCTCACTCACAACTTTAATGCTAGTAGCTCACAAAGTAGAATTTTTACTCACAAGACTCCACAGCTTAGAGGGAGCATTGGTGCCCACCTGTATTTTGAAAAAACTGACTGGACAGCACGCTCTGTGGTTGAAGCCCTGCAGTAATACGGATGCCTCACCACTGGACGAGTACGTGGCCAAACCTTCCTGCAACAATTTAAACTGGTGCACTTAAAGGCGCACCCAGACTGTGCCAAGCCTCCAATGTGACCACAGCCAAAGAAGTCCTGACTCTAAATCACATCATTCCTGTGCAGCATAACAAGGTTACAGTGGAACCGGTCTTTGGACTATGGAAGTCAGTTCCCTTGGAGGAAATGGCAGATCTGGAGAACTGACCCGATGGCATCACATCCCACTGAGCTCCCACCCTTCCCACTAGTCCAAATCTCCTGAAATCCCCCAAGCCACAGCAAGCAAACCCACTCAGCCTCCTCGGCCCAGAGCTGGCATAAGTTCACACTGCCCCTTTCCTCTGCTCCCGGTTGGGGGTGGTGGTGGTTTCCAGGTCTTGCAAGAATTCCTGAGAATACCCAGCATCATTGCCCAACTCGCTGCTGCTCGGAAGCCCAGCACATCTCCAGGTGCCCACTCCTCAGCTGTCTGGCATATCTCCAGATGTGGGCATGGCTTTACCCAGCAGCTGTGTGGCGGCAGCTTCAGGGGTGCAACGATTGGTGACTCCCAAACGCAACTTCCACATTTTTGTAAAGCACACACTTATGCTGACTTACAAGTACAGAGGCTATTAAAAAAGCCAACGTTATGTAAATTACATGAACAAAATTTTTGTTTCCTCTCCTTTTCTTGTGCATTTTGCATTGATTTATTAAGGCCTCTCTTTTGGGGGGCAACTACACTCAGCTCTAGAACACATAAGCCACAGCATCCTGTAAGAAGCATGCGCAATTGCCCCCCCCCAACAGAATGTCACTCACAAAGACACAAGATCAGATATTAAATTACCTTAGGCCTCTTAATGCAGCAGAGGATTAACAGTCATCTGAACCTCCACTTAAAAAATAAAGGGCTGGCAGAGTCAACAGCACCTGGCAAAATCAGGGGCTCTCTGCACTCCTGTCTTTCATTCCTTAACAAGTCACAGGTTTGTCGTCTTAGGTTGCAGGGAGTAAAGCTACAACTCCTTGAAATTCCTGCCCTGCATTTGCAAGAAGAGTCTCCGGTTAACAGCCCTGTCTCAGAGAGGACTGTT